AAAAAAGGTTTTTTTAATTTTTTTTTTTTTTGCGAGCAGGGAGCAAGTTGCTACCATTAGCCACTTTCCTCTAAGGAAACAGTCCTGTGGTCTGAGTGTTTGTACTTTATGTGAGTCACGTCTCGTACTATGTCCTGGACACTGTTTCTAACACATACCACTATCATTCTGTGAAACAGACACAATAAATTATGTTGTATTTATGTGTTGGGTGCTGGTTGCTAACAGCTTCTCCCTGTTAGAAGTTCTTTGTACAGACAACACACTTTTTTTTTGGTAGTATCAAGAAATAATCTTGAAATGTATCAGAGGGGTAGCCGTGTTAGTCTGAATCTGTAAAAAGCAATCTTGAAATGTTACCAGAGCGAGCACAGTGTAGGTGGGTAGGGTGGCTGCTGTTTTCTAGAGCTTCTAAAAAGCATCACTTGGCCCCTGTTACTATCTAAGCACCTCGCCCTTATTAATGTATTTGACTTTCCTGCCAGGGAGGCAGCACGATCATCCCTGTTATACAGATGGGCAAGTCACTGTGCCTCAGTTGCCCAAGATCACACAAGGAATTATGGGTTGGAGGAAGGAATCGAACACAGGTCTTGAAAGTACTAGCCTAATGCCCTAACCACTGGGCCATCCTTCCTCTGCTCTAATAGTTCTGGAAAAATGGGTGGCCCAAACAGATACTTAGGACTGCATTATCAACCTGCCAGGAGCCTGAGGGGCTGCACCCAACTTATGCGGATATATTTCCTATTTTGGCGGGGGGGGTGGAGCGCATGGCCATTTAAAACTTGCTTGTGCTGCTCTTTCCCTAGTTCATGGGCTCTCAAACGGGAGGGCATGAACAAGTTTCAGTGCATCACACCACATTTCATAGGGGAGGTGGGGGGTTGGCTCCCACTACTCCTTTCTCTCATACAATGTGAGGGTCACTGAGTGGAACAGACTGAACTACTGGTGTGGGTGGATGACTAGAGACCCCCCCCCAGTTCAGCATTATGGTCCTGCAGCAGTCAAAGGAGAACGAGTAAATACAGCTCAGACTGGCCCTTGGACTGTACCTAGCTCCTTCACCCACCCACTGCCAGCTTCAGGTCTCTGGGGCCTGGCTTTTCAGAGGTGCTGAAGACCCATAACTTCAATGAGTCAGTCGGAGCTGTGAAAAATCAGGGATTTGATCCTACAGGGGCCTCAGCACCTTTATCAACTTCTGTGGGAGTTGGCCTTCGAGCGCACCTCTTCAGTATTTAGTCTATTGGAGAGGGGATCTCAGAGAACCATCCGCTATGTGCTAGAGGACAAGGGCTTCCCTTGTCACAGGGATATAATCAAATCCTTGCTCGTCTAAGACAACGGCTATCTACCAGTCATACCGGTTCGAAATAGAAATTTGGTTGTAAATAGAGTTGCCCTGCTTGTGCACAGGGGGAAATGGTGCAGTGATGCTCTTAAAATGGAATTGGATGTTCTGCCAGAGTGCACAAGTGAAGTCTCTACACAGCCTTCTAGGCGGGTCGCTCTAGGCATGTGTGAGTTTGAAAACTCCCAAAACTGAGTTAATGTCCTGCATCAAGTTCTGGCTGATCGTGCCTGTGAGTTGCCTCTAGAGGGTGCTGCTTTCCCGCAGTGTTGTAACAGATGAGATCTAGCTTGTGTGTGTGGCCTAGGCCAGTGGTTTTAAAACTTTTTTTCTGCTTAGGGTGACCAGATGCCCTGATTTTTATAGGGACAGTCCCGATTTTGGGGTCTTTCTCTTATATAGGCTCCTATTACCCCCCACACACCTCCACCCCATCCTGTTTTTTCACATTTGCTGTCTGGTCATTCTATTTCTGGTGACCCAGTTGAAGAAAATTATTGATGCCGCGACTTAATGGAGCTGGGGCAGAGGGGTTTGGAGTGTGGGAGGGGATCAGAGCTGGGGCAGAGGGTTGGGGTGAGGGCTGTGGGGCCAGGAATAAGGGGTTCAGGGTGTCGGAGGGGGCTCTGGGCTGTGGCGGGGGGTTGGGGTGTGGGAGGGGGGTTGGGGCCAGGGATGAGGGGTTTGGGGTGCAGGAGGGGGCTCTGGGTTTGGGGGGACTCAAGGCTGGGGATTGGGGCACGAGGTTGGGGCTTATCTCGGGTGGCTCCCGGTCAGCAGCGCAGCGGGGTTGCTAAGCCAGGCTTCCTGCCTGTCCTAGCACCGCGGACCGTGCTGCACCCCAGAAGTAGACAGCAGGAGGTCCGGCTCCTAGGCGGAGGTGGACAAGCAGCTCCATGTGGCTCTTGCCCACAGGCACCACCCCCCAGCTCCCATTGGCTTGTTCCTGGTCAATGGGAGTGCGGAGCTGGTGCTTGTGGCAGGGGCAGCGTGTGGAGCTCTGTGGCCTCCTCACCATGGAGCCGGACCTGCTGCTGGCCACTTCCGGGGCGCAGCGCAGTGTCAGAACGGATAGGGACTAACCTGCCTTAGCCGGGCAGCATCACCGATGGGACTTTTAACAGTCGGGTCGGCGGTGCTGACCAGAGCCGGTGTGACCCACTGCCTTCTATTCCGCGACCCAGTAGTTGGTCGTGACCCGCAATTTGAAAGCCACTGCTCTAGTCTCGCCAAGCAACCCTACAATCACACACCAGCACGCATGACCTGACCAACCCTACAATCACACACCAGCACGCATGACCTGACCAACCATACAATCACACACCAGCTTGCACCACTCTAGTCTCACCAAGCAACCCCACACACACGACCAACCCCAACCCCGGGGGAATTCGCTCAGGGCCGGGCAGCATTGCACTGGCAGGGGCATCCCTAACCACTCGCTCACCATCGCGGCCCCAGCATCCGGGCAGGCCTGGGGCAGGGGCGACAGGGCAGATAGCCAGACTGCTTTGTCCTCAGGTTTCTCCCTAGCCCCTAGGCAGTCTGGGGGAGGCTGCTGAAATTTGTGTTGGTGGCCGGTCCAGCCCCAGGTGTCTGGGAGGTGCAAAGGTGACACATGCTCCTCACCTCTCAGGAAGTGCAACCCAGAACCACACCAAATACGAGGTGTCAATCTGGGCCGTGTTTGCCTCTTGCCGGGCTGGCACAAACAAGGAGGCTACAGCCCGGCCTGGTCTCTGTTACGCCCCTGTCCAGACAAGCCTAGAAACACTGACAGCCCTGGAGTTACTACAGCTCCACAGAGTCTGCTGAGAACAGTGTTGATACTCCTCGGTCCTGGGAGGCTGGGAACATCACCCCCGGCCGGACGGTGTGCTGAGGGACAGCAGGACAGACACAAGCCGATGGTATTGACGTTCTGGGCTAAAGGCCCAACAGGGTTTTGATTTTCTTCCCCGTGTCAGGAGAGAGAAATAAATCTACCCAGAGGGGAAACAAACCCGGCAGCTACTGTAGAAGCCCTAAGGTTGGACAAAACAACAAACTGGCCAGGGCATGACCTTGCTGATTCCTCCGCCGTCGCCCTCCACCTCTGCGGGCAGATCCCTGACGAGCCCTGATTAGCCTCTGATCAGTCACCACTTTGTTCCCGGTGTCACGTAGCAAACGCTGAAATATCAGCGGTGCTGGCGCTGGATCTCTGGCATTCGGCTTCCGCAGTGGACAGACAGAGAGCCCCTGCGTTCCTAGCCAGACGAGTAAGCAGGCTGGAGCTGTGAGCTGATGGGCTAACCAGCAGGAGCTGGTCACATCCCTCCCGTGGCTGTGTAGAAGGGCTTGACGGAGAGGAAGCTGGTTAGGGTACTAGCGAGGGCTTTGAGAGACTCAGGTTCAGTCCCCTGTTCTGCCATGGACTCCCTGTGAGACACTTAGGTGCAGAGCCTCAAAGGGATTTAGGTGCCTAGCTCCATTCATGCCAATGGGAGTTAGGTGCCTACATCCCTTTGAGAACTTGGGGCTCAGCTTCTCTGTGCCTCAGTTCCCCATCTGTGAAATAGCCCTGCCCTGTGCTCAGACCCTACAGCAAGGGGGGCTCAGATACGTCCCTAGCATAGAACAGATGATGGATTTATAACCAGCGTCACTGTCTTGCTTACTCTAGTGGTGCATGATCGGTCCTAAATGCCCTGGGCCAGGAGTCGATTTGCAGCAGGCTTTTCCTGGGTTAAGCAAGAGGAAAAAATACCAGGGACCCCACTTGCTACCGTGATGTTGATTATTTGTATTACCATGATGCCAAAAGCCCGCAGCCAAGCTTGGGGCCCCATGGTGCTAATATGTCATGGCACGTACAGCACCTAGCGCCCTGGGGGACTCAACCTCGAATGGGGCTCGGCCCCACTGGAATACAAGCAGTAATAATAAGCAGACCCCAAATGTATCCTCCAAGGCAGCACCCCCAGAGGATGCATCTATCCATCCCCACACACTATCTATCTATCCCTGTACACATCCCTCAGTCTATCCATCCCCATCCACCTATACCTAGCTCTCTACCAAAGAATTTAGAACCCCACATTTCCAACTCAAGAGTCTTAATTCCACTTGAAAACTATCTGCAAGGTGTGCAAAGGTGTGCCCTGTATGTGGGGATGGGGAATCAACGAGGCATTTGGGGGAGTAAGCAGGGTGA